GTGGTATTGAAGGTGGAGAGAGCACTGTACATTCACTCCCCCCACCTACAATCCCTGCCGGTACGAGACTCGAACCCGCAACCTTTGGGTTACGAGTCCGACTCTTTAACCATTAGGCCACGACTTCCCCACTAAACTGATAAGCGATATTAACGACGCCGTTGTTTACAATACAACCGGCGCACATGCCGCTGAGGTGAGGGGCGGGACTCTTAGATGCGCACTAGAGGCAGTTTAGCCAATCACAACACACTGGGCTAGCTAACCAATCAGAGCCCATCGCCTATTTCTGTTGGCAGGGCTTCATAAAAACAGGAAAAGAAGGGACAGAGCGGTGTGGAATAAAGGTAAATTATGTGAAAAATAATGTTTTTTTTTAAAAACGAAGCATTAACACATGTTAGACTGCACCCCATAAACACAATCAAGCCTAGAAAAAAACCAGTGAACCACCCCTTTAAATTCATGATTGCACTCCTCAAGTTCCCTAAAGTACTTTTTTTTTTAACACACTGAACAAAAGAAAGCTGTAAAATAATAGTTACTCTGCATGGTTTTCTTGTTTTCGGCAGGGAGGAGTGGACGAAGGCTATCCAGGCTGTGGCAGATAGTCTACACAAGCAGGAGGAAGAGAGAATGGACTCTTCACCTGACCCCATGGACATGGAGGTGTACCTGTCCAAACCTCGACTCAAAGTGGTAGGAGTCCCCCCCCCCCATATTTTCTTGTCCTCTCTCTACTGTTTCTATACAAATGTAATATATAAAGTTTTTTTTTGTAGGTTAAAATATTTTTTTCTGTTCTTTTTTATGGTTGCTAAACAACTCTAAGTTAACACTATAAGAAAAAGTGAACCTCAGTTCACTCAGATTGTGAAAAAAGACTAAATAGATAAAATATTTTTTGTACCTTATATTAGATTTTTTAAATTATATTGGATATTTTAAAACTGTATTTCTCAAAGACTTTTCTTTATGTTGTGTAGACAATGCATGACTTTGAATACCTCAAACTCTTGGGGAAAGGCACTTTTGGGAAGGTCATACTGGTGAAGGAGAAAGCCACGGGCAAATACTATGCCATGAAAATTCTTAAAAAGGAGGTGATAGTAGCAAAAGTAGGTCCTTTGCTTTTATTCTATCTACTTTTTTTGGAGTAAATTTAATCATTGGTTTGTGTATTTGCCTGTACAATATATTTTGGCAAGTTCTACATAAATTGTAGTAAGGTCATATAAGAAGTTCTAACAAATTATTTTCATTACTTATTTATTTATAGGATGAGGTAGCACACACACTTACTGAAAACCGGGTCCTCCAGAACTCCAAACACCCTTTCTTAACAGTAAGCTGATGTTATCAAATTAGAGAGACCATAAAGAGTAAAGAGACATTTTAGAATTAGCGATTATTATGACCTTTTATCATTTACACTAGTATATGTAAATTAAGAAACATTCCAAGTCCAGTTTTTTGACAGGATTTTGGGTTGTTTTTTTTTTAATAATAATAATTTCATCGAGCAGGGACAGATCTATAAAATTGTATATTGGGTGGCATAAGGACTACGGGGGAGGCGAAACCAAAGCAATCATCCGTACATAGTTCTTGTGAATTTATGACCTGGCATAAACATTTGTGTCCATGAATATTCAAAACAGTTGCATTACCATAAAATAACCATATATACTGGTAATAATTACAAATAAATTGCAAAATATCAATATCCAGGGCATCAAGACACTATCTTTTAAACATATCAATAGATTCTAAATGTCTCTGAGCTTGTAAGAGCAGATCGATAGATCATTACATAGAGAAGCTGTTTTGTTAATATTAATCTATCTATACTGATCTTCAAACGATTTTAAATTTAAAGACTTTATTAAGCCAACATAAAATTTGTCTTTCAATAAATTTCAATCTAGTAACGAAGATTAGATTCTTACATTCTTGTACTTTCTGTGATCAGGAACTTATTATTGATTGCAGATGGCAAAAAACTACCATAAGAAAATAGTTAGACACAGGTCAAAATAAATCAAGACAAGAGTTGTGGAATAAAATGTCCCGCAATCCCAGACATCCTATCCGGATGGGATTAGATTTCTCTGAGGATCTCTGAATTAGCAGAAAAATTCTGCTTTTTCTTAGGGTGGCAGTTGCCACCTAATGCCAGCCCGGTAGATCTGACCCTGGAGAGTCGAATTTGTTTTCACTGATAATCAATATTAAGCCAGACATTAAATGTAAATATTCCTTTAATAGTTATAATAGTAATAATTACAACACCAAATGTCACCTCTGTGTTTCAGGGTCTGAAGTATTCTTTCCAGACTCATGACCGATTATGTTTTGTTATGGAGTATGCAAATGGTGGAGAGGTGAGATCTTGTAAAGGTGAAGTTTAGTAATGATTGTTCATTAAAATTAATCAAGTATTTTTTTAATTTGCATGCAATCAAATGCTTTATTTAAATAATGTGTGTACTAAGTATAATAGATTTTCCCCAGAAGATTCAAAATTCCAAATTGTCTTAAAGGGTTCATATGATGCGATTTCAATTTTTCCTTTCTCTTTGGAGTGTTACAAGCTCTTGGTGCATAAAGAAGATTTGTAAAGTTGCAAAGACTAAAGTCTCAAATCCAAAGAGATATTCTTTATAAAAGTTAAGAGTCAGCCACGCCTACCTAAAACGGCTCGTTCTAACACGCCCCCACATACCTACGTCACGATGTGGGAAGATTTGCATAACGCCGCCCAAATGTTCACGCAAAGAAAAAAGGCGTAACTTTTATTCTCGCTGTAGTATTGTTGTTGCCGCCGCCATGTCGTGAAGGCACTGTGTGTTTCGTTGTCAAAGCGAAACTACTTTGTTTGGCCTTCCAAATGAGGACGATATCTGCTTCGTCATGCCTGGAGCTGATCCGTGCTGGTTGCTGAGGAAATACTACAACTT